CAACATTGATTTTTAGAAGGGATAATTTCTGCAAGGATTTAGCTAGCCTTAGGAGTGTGAAAGGTTTACTTGGTAGAAGATGATGTAAAGAATGCTGGTGTAGGGGGCTGGGAATTTAGCTCAGTGGCACAGCGCCTGCCCGGCAAGCGCAAAGTCGTGAGTTTGGTTCCTGGTATCAGAAAAAAAAATGCAAAAAAAAAAGGAAAAAAGAAAGAATGCTGGTGTGGTGGTGCCTGCCTATAATCCCAAAATGATGCGAAGAGAGGGTGGGAGCGAGGTGGGGACACACTGAGGGACTCCAGTGTCCCCTGGCAGGGCTTACCCACTGCTGAGATGAGTCCTTGCCAGAGGGGAACGGGCAAGTCTCCTTCCTAGTTTTGTCACGGGGAGGGGGTGCTCTAGTGCCTTTGTGACATGAGTGTGCACTCAGGTTGGGGGATGCACCTAGGTCTGCTCTCTGTTCTTGTATTGAGAACAGCGGGCTGGGGAACAGCCAGAGGTGAGAAAGAAGGCGTGGTGCATTGTAAGCCCCCTTAGTTACAATAGCCACTGGGACCACAACCCTGTGCAAAATCAGTCTTTGGCTCTGTGCTTCTTGGTTTAGGTTTTTTTTTTTTAAAGGGTCTTGCTAGATAAGTCAAGACTGGCCTTAAACTTACTATGTAGCCCAGGGTGGTCCTGAACTTGCAATCCTCCTGTCTCGCTTCCTGAGTCCTGAGATTACAGGCATACACCACCATTCTTGGCTTCTACACTTCTTAGGGTTATCAAAACCCATGACCTTGAATTATATGTAAAACCTGTGTAGTCATCTCAGGCATCAGGGAGCTTCTCAGAATCTAATGTGTTAACATTAGCACGGAAGATAGCAGTGGTGAGCTATGGGTGGTGGAAATACAGTTCTTTTATTTGCCCTTCCTTATGTCTATCCTCTATAATCCAGGTTTTGTATAAACATTCTTTTTAATACTCAAAAATATTACATTTATTGACTCTGTAATTCTGTTAATTACTCTATTAATACTCTTAATTGAGCTACAAAATGTGGCCAAAGAAAGATGGGCATAGTAGCACACACCTGTAATCCCAGCTGTCTGGGAGCCTGATTCAGGAGTGATTTAGTGAATCTTAAAGTAAAAAAATAAAGGTTGGGGAAACAGCTCAGTGCAAAGCCCCTGGATTCAGTTCTCAGCATTGCGAAACAAAACAAAATACACACAACAAACAGCCA